ATATTTTATATTATTTTTTAAAGCAAAATACATTGGCAAACATTCAAAAAAATTTACAACAGAAAGTAAAACAATATAGGTAACTCAGAGCTACATCTCGAGTACTTCGTCCAGCTCCCCGGCGGTGGGCCCGCGTGCCCAGAATGCTGCAGGCATTTCCTCACTGGATCGCAACACTGAGTCTCTGAAAGAGGAAGCTGGTCGCCCTGTGGTCCTTGGTTTCTATGATGAGCTTTTCACCTAGCTATTTGAGGAACTTTAGAGCACACTTGCCCATGCTCTAAGGGTCTCCGCCCCTTTTTGTTAATGAAGTTATAGCAAGGGGGAAGGTTTTTCATATTTTCGGATGTTCTGGGTCTCCCTGTGGCTGGCAGCTCCCCCCCCTTTCCACTACAGATATATATATATATTATATATATAATATATATATATATTATATATATATATATATATTATTTTTTTGTCGCGCAGAATGGAAAAAACTGGTAAAATTAGGAAGAATTCATTTAAAATTAAATCCTTTCTAAATTTTTCTCTTATACGTTTAAAGATATATATTTTTATTTATGTTAATGTAAAATTAATAATTTTTGTCAAAAGAACCCTTAGGAAAACTTACCTACCCTTTTATTATGACAAGCACAATTTAATTTAGCCTATTAATAATAAAACAAACACTATGAAGTATATTTTTTCATTAGGTTCAGAATGAACTGCATAAGCAAATTTTCGCTTGCTTTACCCGGCAAGAAGAGCGTTCCTATTTAAGCCAAAATCACAAATTTTCCCTATTCGGCACGACGTATATATACCACCACAATTTACGCAGAGGGTATAATGAACGGCTGCAATATCGGGGCCCAGAACGGATACAAACGTAAAAAATCTGAACGATTTAAATATGGTGATCAGGAGCAGACGATTCTTCAGAGTGTGTACTCACTCACCTATTTGTGATTGCAGGGGTCGAGTCCTAGCTCCTGGCCCCGGCTCTTCCCCGGTTGTACTGGGCCCTCTCTCTCCCCGCTCCATGGCTTTATCAAACCTCGTCTTAAAACTGTGTATGGTTCCTCCCTCCACTACGTCACTTTCTAGGCTATTCCCCTGCCTGACAACTCTTGTGACTGAAGAAATACTTCCTAACATTCCTTCGATTCATTCGTGTCTTCAACTTCCAATTGTGACCTCTTGTTTCTGTGTCCCCTCCCTGGAACACCCTGTCTTTGTCCACCTTGTCTATTCCGCGCAGTATTTTATATTTTCGTTATTATGTTTCCCTGACCTCCCTGTCCTCCAGTGTCGTCAGGCCGATTTCACTTAACCTTTCTTCGTAGGACATGTGTGTGTGTGTGTGTGTGTGTGTGTGTGTGTGTGTGTGTGTATGTACTCACCTAGTTGTGGTTGCAGGGGTCGAGTCCCAGCTCCTGGCCCCGCCTCTTTCCTGGTCGCTACTAGGTCATCTCCCTGAACCAAGAGCTTTATCATACCTCTGCTTAAAGCTGTGTATAGATCCTGCCTCCACTACATCGCTTCCCTAACTATTCCACTTCCTGAATACTCTGGCTGAGAAATACTTCCTAAATCCTGTGATTCATCTGTGTCTTCAACTTCCAACTGTGACCCCTTGTCTTTGTCTACCTTGTCAATTCCTTCAGTATTTTGTATGTCGTTATCATGTCCTCCCTACCCCTCCTGTCCTCCAGTGTCGTCAGGTCGATTTCCTTAACCTCTCCCCGTAGGGCATACCTCTTAGCTCTGGGACTAGTCTTTCTGCAAACCTTTGCACTTTCTCTATTTCTTCACGTGCTTGGCTAGGTGTGGGTTCCAAACTGGGGCCGCATACTCCAATATGGGCCTAACGTACCGGTGTACAGGGCCCTGAACGATTCCTTATTAAAATGTCGGAATGCTGTTCTGAGGGTTTTCTAGGCGCCCATATGCTGCAGCAGTTATTTGGTTGATGTGCGCTTCAGGAGATGTGCCTGGTGTTATACTCACCCCAAGATCTTTTTCCTTGAGTGAGGTTTGTAGTCTCTGGCCCCCCCAGACTGTTTCTCCGTCTGCGGTCTTCTTTCCCTTCCCCCAATCTTCATGCTTTGCACTTGGTGGGGTTGAACTCCCGGAGCCAATTGCTGGACCAGGTCTGCAACCCGTCCAGATCCCTTTTAGTTCTTTCCCGGTCTTCGACCGAATGAATTCTTCTCATCAACTTCACGTCATTCTGCAAACAGGGACACTTCGGAGTCTATTCTTTCCGTTTATGTCGTTTACAAATACCAGAAACAGCACTGGTCCTAGGGCTGACCCCTGTGGGGCCCCCGCTGGTCACAGGTGCCCACTCTGACACCTCCCCACATACCATGACTCGTTGTTGTCTTCCTGACAAGTATTCCCTGATCCATTGTAGTGCCCTTTCCTATTTATCCCCGCCTGGACCTCCAGTTTTTGCACTAATCTCTTGTGTGGAACTGTGTCAAACGCCTTCTTGCGTCCAAGAGAATGCAATCACCCCAAACCCCCCCTCTCTCTTGTCTTACTGCTGTCACCCTGTAGTAGACCCCTTAGTAGGTTTTGGGCGCAGGATTTAACTTTCCCTAAAACCATATTGGCTGCTGTTGATGAGATAATTCCCCTTTTTAGATGTTCCAAACCCCCCTTCTGATAATCTTCTCCATGACTTTGGATCTATACAAAATTTAGTGACACTGGTCTGTAGTTTAGAGGGGATATCAAGGTTCTCAGCGCGAACGAAAAATTTTTCCGAAAAAATTCACAAACTGAGTTAATCTTATAGAAAAATAAGCTTAAACTCTCTGCAACACAATGGTACCAGAATCATTGTTCTACGACTTTTCCTACAAGGAATTATGGTCTTTTAAAATTTACACCTAGGGTTACGTCACCACCCGCGGCGGGTGTGCTCCCTGTCGTCAATTTTTTTTTTTTTTTTCCGTTTTTTTTTCGTGTATTTATTGTATTATTCTTTCTAAGATAATAATTGACGATTTGGCATCATAATACATTGGGCGGGACTTTTCCGTAGAGTTCCAACCAACCAGGAACCTCCCGACACCATTTTGCTGACTTCATGGAAAATTCCAGTCTCGGGGGTGGCCGGGGATATATGGCTAAATATAACGCTATTATAGATTCTACGGCTTATTTATCTATCACAATTGATCTAATATGACAAAATTAAACAATATAAATAACAAAGAGTATGGTAAATACTCCAGAATGAATAATATATGGCATATTCCCAGAGGCTCCATGGGGAATAATAGATTCCATTCTCAGGAGGGGCTTCCATTCTCTTTCTCTCACCTCCAGGGTCCTTATATTAAAGAAAACGAACATGGTTAACTATGATATACACTCGTAATGCAGTATAAGACTGAGAAAAATGTTATTTTCTCGAAAAAAAAAAAAAAAAAAAGGTGGTCCGGCTGTTTTCGCGGATTATCTCGGAAGTATGTTATTCACATATATGAGCAGTACCTTCGTTAATAATAGCGGAATGTAATGAAATTCACAGAGAACATAAAGGAAAGATTGTTTTACAAGCTACCGGTTTGATTTTTGAGATATCATAAATTTTTTTTGATTTATGTGAGGGCAAAAATCAGATATTTAGCTGAAAGTCAAAACCCCTACAAATTTATTTTTTTTAAGAATGAAGAAAGGATAAATTACAGAACATCTAACCGCTAGAGATACAGTTTTTGCATTGTTTTATGCGTAGATAATGCCAAAACAGCTTCTCCAAGGTCCCATGTCGAAGTTACTATTTCAATATGTATGATTATTAGTAAATAATTTTTTTCTCAGTTGTTTTTTGGCTTTTCTTATTTAAACTTGGTCACATTACTATTGAAAGTGCTTCTTTTCGTACAAAAAAAATGAAAGAAATCGAACGAAAAATAAAAAGTTCATGTGTTTTACCTTGATATCCCCCTTTAGTGCTTCATGTCTGTCTCCTTTTTTAGAAATTAGGACTACATTTGCAGAGAGCATGTAGTTCCTTTGTAT